GGGTGCATGCTTATTCTTGATGGCGGGGCACAGAGTAACAGGCCAATTCTAACCAAGGTGTCTGGGTTTTTAAAGAATGAGGAAGAATATTTTGGGAATCAAAGGAATGGTTATATAAGACAGGTCTTTGTCTATAACTAAATGAAAGGTATTCTGAAAAGAAATTGCCAACTGCTTCCTCTTTTGTTGAATTTCAAGACAAATATTGTCATAAGGGAAAATCCAGGTTTCCATTAGGGAAAAATATAAGAAATGTAAAGAAAAACAGTAAGATATGGGAGAATCGGATAAAAAGAAAACGGTAGTGGTAGATGGCAAACAGGTGGTAAATGAACAAAATAGGGAGTGAATAGAACAAGGTAGGGTTTAGTGGGTTGGGGTGAGAGACCAGAAATACCGGGAGGGCAGAGATTGCAATTTGTTCCCCCCAATTTTTCATACATTTTTTAGTAATAGAACACCTGATTTTTAGGGGGCATATGGCTGCCCAAATTAAAGTCTACATTTCCTGTTCTACCTTAGAGCTAAGTGTAGCCATATCATTATTTCTGACCAACATAATGTGCAACTTGTGTTATGTGTCCTTACAAGGAAGGAGCAAGACCCTTTTAATTTCTTTTTGTTCTTCCTCCTGGTGGAAATGTGATTATAGTGGCTGGAGCTATGGCATTTTTTATCCTAAACTATATGAAAACCTTAGATTAGGAGCTGAGATACAAGATACATGTTAAAAAATAACTTAAAATATTATAGAAGGAGCATGTGTGTAGTGTGTCTTTTATTTCCCCTTTTAACATGAATTTTGTCCAAGGTGAGGGGGATTTATGATTTTAGATTTTTCAGTGTATATATCAAATCCAATGATATTGGATTAGATATTAAACTCTACATATTGACCTTAAGGTTAACTGGGCTGGTAATTGAGAGTGTTATATTTTTGATGGTATAATATTATAGAAATCTCTAGTTGAAATGTAGGAAAACAGCTACTCTTCTTTGTAAAGAGGCAGGGATATACTTGTTTAATTTTTTTTTTAATTACACTCATAATAAATGTGAAGGCAAGGTACAGTGTAAGGCAATACATTAAAGAGGATTCTTAAAATCTTACAGTTCAGCGTGGTTCACTAAGAAAGTATTCCTTATCTACATTATAACACATATGTCTTGAGCTTTACAAAATGAAGTTGGAATGTTTTGAATTAGACCTAAGCCCTTAGGGTATAAATTACATTGGATTCCAAATTTAGCATTATTTGACAGGCACTGAAATCTTCCCCATTTCAAAAATATTCTTGGGCTCCATTTTGTGAAATTCCTTTTTATTGTGGAAGTATCCCCTTTACATACCGAGTTAGAAAAAATATTTGTAAGAAGTCATTGACAATATTACATTCTTTACAATTATAAAAGCAAGGTCTGTTCTGTCTCTACTCTATTAGAACCAGAGTAGTTCTAGTTTTTATTTGCCTCCTATGCTGGATTTCTGCATAATATTTTCTTTAGAGACAGGGTTCTTGTTCCAGATAAGAGTGAAGGATTGAATGCATGCATCAAATTTTGCTCCCTACTCAACCATAAAAATTATAGTAGAGAGGTATTTGTTGTTGTTGTCGTTGTTGTTGTTTTAAATGTATAAAACTCCAAGAATAAGAACAAGAGAGGTGAAAATTTCAACAAAATTTTTGGAAGGAGAAAGCACATGAACAAATGATAGTTAACCAAGCAGAATGGAAAAAATAGAATTCCAAGGGGTCAGTGTGAAAAGCTGAGAACCAATCAGATTATATCACAGAATCTTCCAAGGCACAGGACCCAGCTGTGCAATATGCCTTAATAACCAATAGTGTAGGAGAAAGAACACAACAAGGAGGTGTGAAAAGTTGAGAACCAATCAAATTATATCACAGAATCTTCCAAGGCACAGGACCCAGCTGTGCAATATGCCTTAATAACTAATAGGGTAGGAGAAGAATACAACAAGGAGGACCTATTGAATGTAGTTTGAAAACAGTGGATCCCTGTATTCTCCTCCCTCTTCTCACCCCTCTGAGGCTGTTCTTCACCCCTCATCAAAGTGATAAGGAATTATTCTCAAAAGAGAAAAAATGAAGGGCTCCAGACTAGAAGATGCCAGGTCCAGTTGAAAGCCTGACTGCTAAATTTAAAACAGGGTGATTAAGTGACCTTAGTCATTCTGAATGCAGAATGCAGAGATCTCAAGAGCGCTTAACCTATGATTAGCAGAACATTGGCAGTCAGGGCCTTAATCTCCAGGCAGAAAATTAAAAGATACTCTTCTGGGTAATCAAAGGAAAGATCCAAAGATAGGGACATTTTGAAGGATTCATCAGCAAATAGTCCCTCTAGACTAATCTATGGTAAAGCTCTAATTAGGTAAATATTCTCCCCTACTGTGCTGTGCACATAGAGCTTCCAAATCAGATTTTAGTCCCCTTTTCTTAATCATTAACAGTTTGCTCAGAATTAACAAGTATCTGAAGAAAACCTCTAATATGGAAGATAGAAATCCAAACAAGCTCATAGGAAAATACAACTGGGAGAAAACTGAGGTCTTTTCAGGGAGAAAGAAATGTCCTAAGATTACTATTAATGTCTTCAGAGACATAAGAGAAATTATTACATTCATAAAACAAGAACTCATAGAAATTAAAATAATTTGGCAGAAATGAAAAACTCAATACAATACTTGGAATATAAAGATGACAGAAATGAGAAATAGGAAAGCAAAGGTAATAAATGTAGACTCAGCAGTTTGGTAGCTCCAGTATCTCAGGATGCTGGGGACAAGCAGAAGATCAAACAAACCTAAGAGAGAATTTAAAAAAAAAAAAATTCACATACCAAGAATTGGAGATCTGAATGGCTTCACGTTTGTACAGTGTGAATTAGAAGTAAGAAAACAGTGAAAAAATGCTTTCAAATTTATCTAAGAAAATTATTTTCAATTTAGAATTCTACACCCAGCAAAACTAATAATTATTTATGAGAGTAGAATAAAAGCATTTTTACACATGAAATAGCTCAAAAAGTTGACCTCTTGGGTAATCCTTCTTTAGAAGTCACCAAAGTTAGAGATAAACCTAGAAAAGGGAGAACATCTGTTAAAGGCAACAGGGGATCCTACATGGTAGAGAGCCTAAGGGGATCCTCAAATGGCAAGAATCTCACAATAATGATTGTGCTGCAGACACAAAGGGCCACTCTCGTGGACTCAAATTGAGCAACAGGACTCAAATTGCAGATACACTCAGGACGGTCATGACCAAATTCTCACTGCCATTTACCATCTTTTAAACTGAGGACAAAACTCCTAGGTGAGCCTGGCCCATATTATTTTTTTCCTGCTCTGTTTCCGGAAACAGCTGGGCACTCTCTTCTCTCTATTAAAGTATTCTGCTTAAATTTACACCTCAGAGTTGGAGGTGAGTGACAGTAAGCCTAGTTTCAGAATATATAGAATAGCCCACTCCCAGTGACAAACAATTCTTGGTGCACACTACAGCCACATGCCATGATTCTCTTGTACATATGCATTGTATATGATTTGCTATATGCAAATTTCATAATAAACAAACATTAAAAAGCATTGTGCTAAAATACTTTAAAATCATTAGTGTTTAGTACATAAAATCATTCAGTAATAACAAGGAACTTATTCTTAAAAATATGTAACTGAATTGTAAAATATTTGAAAGATTTTAATTAATAAAATATCCTTATCCATTTTACATATTTGTAAAATAGAATCTGTCCCCTTGCTGCTCCCATAATGGTTAGGGTTATTCTTGTAAATGTGTGGATAGATTTCCTTGGTATTCTCATAGTTGTTAGGGTTACTTAGCTGTGAAATACAATGAATATAAATCCTTGATACTTTCATCTGGTTAGGGTTATTTAATTGTGGCGTGTGTAAATATACCCCCTCGGTGTTCCATACTGGCTAGAGTTATTTATTTGTGGTATATGTGTCTCCACTGATTACCTGGAGTCATCAGGTTACACTGTCGACTAGAATAGGCATTCTCTTCCTCTTCTTTTTATAATTTGAGTGTTAGATACTGGAGAATAATCTTACTCCAATATATTGCCTTTCCAGAGAGAGGAGACATTCTTTTACTGGTTGAAATTATTTTGAAAGTAATCAAGATTTTATTAAAATTAAGAATAGTACTTCATATACACATAAGCACCCAATGAGTAGGGCAGTATCTGTTTTGGCAATAATGCAGGAACCTTTTAGGAAGTGGATAAAAGTTAAATATTACACATCATTTATATGTTCTAAACTACCTTTGGAGTTAAAATACAACAGGTTTTTTAATACATTTTGAAATTTGTTAACTTAATACTTAAATAAAATTATTATCAAATCATACCAAAGATCTAAATAGTTATTTCCTATTTAAAAATAATTAAAGTTGTCATTTTCTGCCAATTATTAAGGTTGTTTAATATAATGAAGAACTGAATTTAGAAGTTCTTTAAAATCTGATTAGAATCTGATTGAGGAAAAGCTTAATATTGACCAAAATCTAAACATTTTTATAACCTATGTTATTTGAGGTTATTTACCACTAAAAAAAAAAAAAAAAAACAAAACCAATGCTCAGATTTGTAATAGTGACTTATATAACTCCCTAAAGTTAAATTTTGGGACAGAATGAAGTTTTTTGTGTTTTTTTTTTAACTTATTGTTGATATTGAGCCTATCTTTTCCTCTCCCTTCATTGAATTATATTATCAATGCACAATTAATTCTTAAATTGGACATCAGTTGAACTTCAAATATAATATCAGCAATCACTATAGTCTTACACAACCCTATTGACATAGTCAGTATCCACTCACAGAAGAGGTAAGATCATGACTATAGCCTCTAGAACTGCTAGTTTTCTCATTTGAACTGCACTAAGCCTGAAGATTACATTTTATATCCCAGTCCAGCTTTTCTTACATCTGAATAGCTCATGGCCTGAGCTTTTTTCTTCTTTTCTCCAGGTAGTTGGGAAGTGGCCATCCTTGATGACCTGTATACTTCCCTTCATGCAAGGAGCATATTGTGTATTCCTTTACCCATACAAGAGAAAAATGAAAGTCAAAGATGAAAGTAAAATGGACATAATTTTAATGATTTTTTTAAATTTTGTGCATTGGATTCAAACAGCAAACTGTGTGCACTCAACTGTTATCACAATGTTGTCAAGAGTTCTGTGTCTTTTCCCATTTTACACACAATTGTTCGTTACAGTATGTTATCAGCCTCGTGGAAACCAGGGGTGTGGCATGGTAAGCAGTGGTGGTAGTGCACCTAGCTTTTATATTATCTAACTTGAAAATATTTCTCTTCTATGATTCCTTTTTTTCTTGATAAAAATAGTTTTCACCAAACGTTGGTGGTGCACACGCACTACCATTCATGCTTGACATCACACCCCTGACAGGAACGCATGTTCTTATTTTGTTGATAAAAAGTATTACAAAAATTTCCATACAAAAACTATTTTCATAGAAATCTTGCATTTCCACAAATAAACCTGAACATTTTTTTGAAAAAAAACTGCTCAAGAATTTTGTTCATTTAACATTGTGACTGTATTGATAAATGCAGTCCACGTCAAAGTTCACCACACGTACTTTTCTTTAGATGACCAGTCCCCTTTATCCTTTCACTGAGATCTGCCCAGGCTCCATCAAGTTCATTTATAGCAGGAAGGAGGGTTTGGATTAACATATCTGAATGTTAGAATGAAAGTTTCAGTCTTCCACAGAACTATCAACACTCAGCCCTCTTTTACAACTTAAGACAAAGATTGCAAAACATCATCCTTTTTAATTCAGAATCTCTGAACCAACTGTTGTTTTTTTTCTCGGTGCGGGAGTGGGGAAAGGGTGTCTGGGGAATAGGTAGGGATTTGATAGAGTTACATGTTAAATCTCCTGCCATGGTGAATATAAGAGAAAACATTATTTCCTTGGTAATTGACATTTCTATCTCAATCAGTGACACAGACTGTCGAAAAAACAAAAAGAAAGAAAGAAAAACACTGATGAAGATCTGCTTCATATTCCACTTGCCATGAAAGTCAGATTTGTTTTGCATTACATTTTTATCACATCTTATAAACACGTATTGTCAATTCAGATGATCATTATACTGAGTAGTTGGGGGCTAGTAACATCACTACCCTCTTATCTGGATGTTCAGAAGACTGTATTGTTTCTTGCAACACTACAGTTTTTGCTGATTCCAAGTATTTTTATTCTTAATGATTTTTTTACCTCGTTACCCTTGGGGCAATTATGCTCCATCTCCTGGCAACAGTTGGGCCTCAAAAGGAACCTGTAATTTCTTACTGAACTGCATTTGAAACCAGCCACAAATGCGTATGTAACATTCACTCAGAAGAAGGGAGGAACCCATGATAAACAGTTTAACCCCGTGTAACTTGGTTCTCCATGATGCCTGTAACTCAAGTCTGATCACTGCAACTGCTTAGATCACAGAGTCTCTAGTTCATAGACACAGCGGCATGAGGTAACTCATTTTATTTTGCACAGGTTGCATATTTCCACAGGAAACATTCTCGCTAAATTGTTTGGAAAAACAGACGACAGTTTGTGCTTGGGTGTTTGGCCTCCCAGCTTTATGCCATGGTTTCTTTACCTGGCAACCTTCTGTCGTTAAATGTGTGCATGTTGATAACTTCTTCTGTTTTCACAATAACTGGGGCCTGTGGCTTGTGTTTTACCCGACGCTGGCACTTCAGGGACATCCTCAATTCCTCTACCATGGCACTACAGAAGGACCTCTACAGAATAACACAGAAAACGAAATATTACAAAACAGATCCATGGCAACGGTCCTGAAACAATATTAAAATCGTTCTCAAAGACTTGTCAACATAGCAGCCTTGAAGTTTTGAAAAACTCCATTATGAAAATTATAACAAATTATTACAATTTTAACATACAAATCATGATAATTAAAATATTTTATCAGAGTGGGCAAGTTTAAAGAAAATCTCCACCTGATAGTGAAGTGAACTGCCAACTAGGAATGCATACATTACATATATGTTGAATAAGATTTTCAGATATAAAATTAACATTATAAGATATAAATCGACCTTAAAATTTAAATATAAGCACATATAAACAAATTGGTTACCAGAAATCCATTTTTGCTATTTTAAAAAATTAGAAAAAAATGAACTGGTTTTTAGATCACAACATGAGATATGAAAATTTTCTTTAAACGTGGATTCTTCATCATGCATTTCATAACAGAACAAAAATAGTACTCACACATTTAGACATAAAATATGGAAAATAATTTCTGCTATTCATTGTATCATTTTGTGATTCTGCCTGTAAAACTATCGATGATGATTACAAACACGTATGAGCTAATCATGAAATGACATTGTATCACATTAAAAATCCATGCACACATATTAACTTCTTTGTCACCATCAGCTTGATAACTGAGAGCTGATAAATAATTTATTCCATGAAGAAAAAAATGACCCTATACGTAATTTTTTTCTAAATTCCTGTTTTATTGGCAATAGATTTGCCAGAAATTCTGTATATCTGGGGCTCATTATTACACACTCCTCAAATTCCTATTACAGAGTCAAAACGTAAAATAAAAATTTGTTAGTCTCCCTCCCCAGCTAATTGAGATACGTGTGTTAGGTACACATAAATCAGATTCATGAACCAGTTTCACATTGTTGTTGACATTCAGATGGTCTAAGACTTAGGCTCTTTCTGTGCAAGAACTAAAAATGTGGACAACAACTAAAAATGTGGACAAGTATGAAAAATTTACAAAATTCCAAAAAGTGATATGGAAACATAATGAAATAAACCTAATTAAATATACACGTGAAGACTTAGTTTTTTGCTTTTGGTATTGCTTCTTTGTTGTTTATCAGTTTAGGCTAATTCCAAAATAATACAGGATAAAAATATTTAATACCATATACATGCCTTATATTTAAAAAAAATACTTTGTATACATCACCTCTGTGACACAAACTAATACTGAATTAAGGTGGGCATCTGTACAACAGAGAAAACGGATTCAGAGAAAAGATAAGTCACTTTCTGCAGCTCACACCTACACCTCCAGCAAGATATTCTGATACCAAATTTTGTGATTTTGACCCTGCCCTAATAACTTCTTGTACATTCCTGGCTATATTCTCATTTTTCTTTTATGGATTCCTGAACAGTTTCCTTAGTGATCTTCCCACCTCTATGTCTAGGCCATTCTCAAAAAGCTCGCCATTATCAGATAATCTACTGTTTTAAACACCGGTTATTAATACTATTTTTTTTGTCCAAGAAACAGGTAAAATCCAATTCTCCTCTTTTTTCTATCAATACCTCTCTGAGTCAGCTCTACCTCATCTCTCCCTCCAACCTTTTCCTTTTTTCTCTACACACACTCTTCTCTTTGGACCTCCAAGTTTTTTCTACTTTGCTTCTTGCTCTGTTACCTAGCAGAGTTCCTTCATCTTTCACATCAATCCAGCTTTATCCCTTACCTCCAGACATGACTCAAATTTTAACTTATTCAGGAATCACTTTCCAATTGATCAGGCTCATTATTTTCACTCAATTCAGTATTTTTCATTCATTATCATGTTTCTCTTTCTGGCCTCTAGGTGTATGCATCCCTCTCACTGAATTGTAAAGAGCAGAGATTAAGTGCTCATGGCACTGACTTGTACACACATGTTCTTTAAATGTTGACTGAATTAACAATAGCCATACATGACCCTAACATTTTAATTATTTTTTAACGTTTCTAATTCAATTGCTTAAAAAAAGCTTAAAAAGGTTTTTCTTCAGAAGCTTAGTAAAATGCGTTGTGTACAAGTGATCTAATTAATCAGATAAAACTTTAATAACATTAAATTAGTAAAAATATTAATTTATTAGTACTTGTAATGGGAGATGATTATGTGCTACACATGAATTCCCCATTAACTATGGAGTTATTTCTATGCGTTATTTATTATGTGTTCAATAATACAGTTCCGAAATCCATGAATTCTATTTCTATTAAAGGATCTATATGACACCTGACAGCCAGTATAGGGACACAGTGTTTCTTGTTGCTTAATACCTACTATTAGATGTACTTATTAAGAACATGATGATAATGATGATGAAGATGGTGATGATGACAACACTGTAGAAATGGAAAAATCTGACTCCAAAAGAGGGAGGAATACATAGTCTTGAGGTAACTTAGTCTTGGTTCTCTGTTGAAACATTTAACAGAAGAATTGATTAGGTAATGTAACAAGGTCAGAACTTGATGCCATCGACACTTTAAAATGTTACAGGACATGGCTAATGCTGAATTGTTTGAAATAAGCCTTCATTTAAAACAAATAAATTTTCTAAATGTTAAATAATTTATAACACTGTCTTTGGCAAGCTGAAGTTTTAGACATTTTGATTATACTAATTTTAAAAAGTGACAGAATAGAAATATTGTTTTGTCCATAGTAAGACAGTGATCTAAACAACTGATTTTCTTAGAAAAAAAAATCTTATACATACCCATTCAGCTATGAAATGACTCAATTTTATTTCCAGTAAGTTAAAAAGTAAACTGTATTAGTATCCTGTACTTAACTTCAGACTACAAATAAAGACATTTAAACTCTTTTAAGCAATTTTATGTAATGTAAATTTTATAATGCTGATTAACATAAAACATAGGTAAAATCCCTGCCCCAAAGATTGCAATACTTTTATCTTTTATAATTTAAACTTAAGTAAATAATATTTACAAATTTAGAAGCTATGAAAATTATAAACATGTAACCCCGCCATTACTATTTTAGGCTTTCTCTATTTTACAAAGCCATTAGAAAGTGAAAATTTTAATCAAGAAACCTTTAAGCAATCAGTAGCCTTGATTATATAATGTCATTCATCACTTTTGTTAATTTTTTCTCTGAATAAGCTGAATTTTGCCAGTTCTTTTTTGATCTATCAATGTAAGTTTACCTAAAAAATTGTTTTATCTTAGGTTCTAATAAAGTCACCATAAGACAATAGGTTCTTTTCTCACTTGTATAATATTTCTAATCCTTCACAAAACTATGAAAACCTTTAGATTTGAGCAAGAGTTTGGAATCAACATGACAAATTTTAAAAATTAATGATACCATAAAGTACAGTTCACTTGTGGCATTAGGGCAAATACATATTCTTTTCTCTTTTTAAAGCTTTAGAATGTAAATTCCATATCTTGATCTATGTAAGAATCTAAAGTTGAAACTGTAGAGATGATTGTGAAATATAGTTGTTTCCCTGTGTTGTATGTTGCCAAAAAATTACTGTCTGATTTTTAAAGTTCTAACTTGTTGTCATTTGATAGAGACAAATTATCTTTCCTACTTCATATCATGATCAGAATTTTTAAAATGTCTTTTTTACTGAACTATGAAATAAGGTTTTGAAAAACCCAAATGCGCTTGACAGGAAATTTCCTGGGTTATAATGAAGAAGAAAGAAGATGAGGAGGAGGGAGAAGGGGAAGAAGAAAGAATAAAAGAGAGAGAGGGAGAGAGAGGAAGGAAGGAAGGGAGGGAGGGAGAGAAAGAAAACTACCATGCTTTTCAAATTACTTCTTAGAGATAGAAACACACGAATTGTGTCATTAAATAAAGTTTCTTAGGGTGAAAACAACAACAAAAATGTTTCTGCACAATATAACAGACTACAAAAAGAAAAAAGAAAGGTGCAAAGATACTAACCATTATTAAAAACCTCTTTTAGTAAGTTTCAAAAGTTTACTAAACAGTGTCTGGATGGTAGGGTGGCACTAACCAAATAGAAGATTCCTGAAAATGAAAATTTAAATCTTTGAGCTGTTAGCATGTATAATTGCATTTAAATTATTAAACTCATTATAAAATTCACTATATTTAATGAGGCAACCTGTATTTACACATCTCTAATTGAAACAATGAAGGTCTGGAAATCTTAAAAATATGAATTTGGCTATATATACATTGCCTTTTAAACAAGCTATTTTCTTTTTTAATTTTAAGTATAAGAAAACACATAAATAGTCTGCAGATAAATGTTCTCAAGAATATCATTCTTGGTGTAATAGAATAATTTATTCTTAACAGCTTAACTTTCTAATTTACAGATATGTTTATATGATAACATGATGTGACAGCACTTTGAGAAGTACATAAATTGTTTTAATATTAGAAATCTAGTTGTAAACATGCTCCACATTGAACACTGATATATTTAAATTTCATTTTTAAGTTAAAATCTTTATATTTAGCAATGTCTTTTTTTAAAAAAACAGCCACTGATGAAAAATAACCAGTTTAATTTTTTTAACTTTGAAGCTCATCACTTTCATGTTGAATATATAGTCATTTATCAATTGAAAGAGAAATAATCATAAATATTACATGCTACTATCAGGTCTCTATTTAGTATATATTTTTTAAGGAGGAAACTGTTTTATACATCTTGCTGTCCTATTCTTTGATGGTATAAAATTAACTAAATGATATTCCAATATTCATTCAGAATAATTTCCAACCATTTTTGCATACAGTTTCTATCTGAAGCCCTATTAAAACATCTTTAAGCTGCTTCTAACAGATTTTGTGGTGCAATGTCCTAATATGTACTAGCGTATATCAACCAAACTGTTTTGTTTTGTTTGTCATTTAAATTATTTAACTGATTACGGATACCTCGTTCATTCTCAGACATTTTCTAATTAATTTCTGATGCTGTAGGCCATTTGACCAAGAATTCCAGATCACATGTAGTAGAGACAAGTCCAAACAGTCACTGTAATTAATCCCTGCAGAAGATTATTCCACATTAGATAATAATTAAATTAACTAAATAATAACTAAAAGGAAATAAAAAGTATATTTGATGTAATATGCAATATTTTATATTAATGTTGGTGCATTGAATGAGGAAGATAAATGTCATTTAACATGGCCCGTTCCTTTTGATTTGTACTCTTTAATTGGCAGTCTTTTAAAAATATCAAATAGCTAATGCTATACATCAGAAGTATGAATTTACCTAAGGCTATATGAATGTAACAGTGAAGCAATGAGAGATGAAAAATGACTAGTTAAGACACTTATGTCACAATTATATTTATATAGCAACTTTGATCTTGACATTCAGTTTTAGAGCAGCTCTCTTTTAAAAAAATTATATTATTTAGATAAGCTGTGCAGTCAGACGGGTATGCATATAACTGGTAACCGAGCTAAAAGAGGAACACTATTCTCTTGACTTCCATTCTGTAAGTGTGTTATTATATTAGCCTGCCTCATTAACAGTGATTTGAATTTCAGCTGAGGCTTCTACCTGGACTCTCCTCTTAATAAATGGTAATTTTTTGAACACTAAATAATAAATCAGACAGAAAAAAATTAGGGGGCTAAATTATTTTTTCTCAATAGATAAAATGACAAAGCATCCTACTCTTTAGCCTGGATTATTTTACAATGATAAGCATAACCAAAGATTAAAATATTCTCAGAAACCTTAACTCTTACAGAAACAGTTACTGAATATCATTATAGTGCATTTTGCAAATACAATGAGATGGAGAAAAACGGGGCGTCATTATGCATTTTCACACTTTCCCTACTTGAGCCAGAAATATCAATATATAAGGTCTGACAAGCTTCAATACCACTTTAGTTGATACAGCTGTGAAGTCAATTTTAAGAAAAAGTAGTGTTAATCATCATATTCTTGCTAGCAGTCATAATAATAACAATTTTTCAACAAAGTGTATAACATCCAAATAACTAATGCTTAATTCCAGGAGAGCTCTCTTTCCTTTAAGGTGCAGCAGTTAAAATATAACAGCTTTAGAAATAAAAATGATAATTATATTATAACAACAGCTGCTTATTATATGCCAGACACATGCAAAAAACTATGTATATAACCTAGATTAATTTCAAAAACATTTTCATTTGTGGTGTATTTGTAACCCATTCATTTATTTATTTTAAAAGATTTATAGAAAAAGTTAAGTAATTTTATCCAAGATTGAACATACTTGAAGAATGATCCCAAGTCTTTTTTATTTCAAAACTCATGCTTAATGTCCAGGAAAATGAAATGACTATACAGGGCTCATGATCAAAGCCCATAATCTGTCTATCTAATTCAAACTCCTACTGCACACATCTTGTCAACAGAACATCAGAGAGAAAAACTGTCAAGAAAAATAGTTAAATATTCTACCTCCACTTTGTGTAGTGTGATATAGTGTAAATAGAGTTAGTATAGGCATCTTTGACCTTGGGAAACACACTTGACACTTGAGATACTTATCCTCATCTGCACAATATGGATAATAATCTTTGCATAGCTCTCAGAGTAACTTCGTACTCAAATGAGATATTACACTTTAGAAATTCTAAAGCCAGTTATGAAAATCAGCTACAATCTTATTTTAAAACCTTATTTATGGGCATAAAAAGAGGATGAGTTATCATAAATGAATGACATAAAAATCTTTTTGCTGATTTGCAACTACTTGCAACTATTTAGTGAGTAAAATGAAGATTAGCATCTCATTTTGAAGTATGATTTTATATTTATATGTAAAATCATTTTTAAGACCCATCCAGTTAGTCCCTATGTAGGTTATTAGTGGAAATTGAGAGATACTCTGCTCTCAGAGAAAGGCAGTAACATAAAAACAATACAAAATGCACTATTTGTCCAAAGTTTATTTGCAACTTTTAACTTCTAAATATCAGCATGCTTCATAGCTAAATTTTATTATATTAAAAATGTACTCAGCATGAACCAAAATGTTCATTGCAGCTCTATTTACAATAGCCAGGACATGGAAGCAACTGAAGTGTCCATCAACAGATGAATGCATAAAGAAGATGTGGCACATATATACAATGGAATATTACTCAGCCATAAAAAGAAACGAAATTGAGTTATTTGTAGTGAGGTGGATGGACCTAGAGTCTGTCATACAGAGTGAAGTAAGTCAGAAAGAGAAAAACAAATACCGTATGCTAACACATATATATGGAATTTAAGAAAAAAAGAAAAGGTCATGAAGAACCTAGGGGCAAGACGGGAATAAAGACACAGACCTACTAGAGAATGGACTAGGGGATGTGGGGAGGGGGAGGGGTGGGCTGTGACGGAGTGAGAGAGTGGCATGGACATATATGCACTACCAAGCGTAGAGTGGATGGCTGGTGGG